TTCTTTGATTAAAAAAAATATCATTTCACATGGTTGGATGCATGGCCCAAATGCAATCTTCTCATTAGAGATTGTTCTCATGGTGGAGTTCACCTGGGTCTGGGCATCTAGGGGTAGCTGTTGCTGGTAACAAGCATTTCTTCTCACACCTGCTTGTTTCACGGCTGTATCAGGGTGCCTTTCTGCTTGCGACTGTGTCCTTTCCCAGCTAGTGTTGGACTAGGAGTCATCTCCCTGCAAGCTGCTGTGGGAGTGACCTGCGAGTTCTCCCTGCTCTGTAGGTGTTCCTAGTCCCACAGTGTGGCAGATGGAAATAATTTTGCTAGCCCACAAGTGGGCGAACTGGTTAATAGTACTTATGATGGGGTGCTRGTGAGCTAGTTCATTAGTGATGCTAATGGACAGTTTGGTGCTAAGCTGCCATTAAGCAATAGCAGTTCCCAAGCRTTGGCCTCAGCTGCTTTCCGGCAGTTCTGCCTTGCAGAGAGAACTTTGCTGTTGCAGTTGTCTTTACACTCCTCAGTCCACGTTTCCYTGTGTGTCCTGGAGCTGGATTATTCCAAATCCTTATTGTGGTTCAAGGTTAACTTCTTTGAAACCTGAGTGAAGGTGGGCTTTTTAGCAAGCTTGACTAGGCCTCTCTGTTTGCTGGATGCAGAAGCAGTGGCAGTGCTTGCTTTTTTCCTTTTTTTTTACCCTTTCCATAAGATGGAGGAAAGAAAAATGTGTGGTGTCGAGTGCTGTGCATACAGCACAGGTCTGAAGGGAGTAGTGTTATTTTTAATATGTTGTCCTGCCTGTTAAGGAAGAAGAGCAATCACAGTTTCTCAAGAGCCTATCTGGACAGACCATATGTTAAGATTTATGAGCTGAGTTGCTTTGGGAAGACAGTGCTGCTGCAATGCTAACAAAATAACTAAAAAYGTCATTGTATGTTCCTGTGTGTGCGTGGTACACACTTTGGTAGCATTCTTTGTGCCCTATGATGTTCACATACTGATCTGTTCTGAAACCAGGCAGAATGGTGTATCTTGGAAAGAACATAAGCATGAGGGTTAATTCCCGCCCATGCTGGTCACCTGGGATCTGCTTTGGTTTGGAAAAGGCAAAGGAATGAAATCCAGGGAAAGTACGTGGTTTCTGTTACTGGCTAGAAAAAAGCTACCTCACAGATGATCATGTAGTTTAATACCTATCTTGAGAATTTGTTGACTCTGAGACCTTAGCAAACACGCTGCAATTTCTCATCTAACCAAAACAAATGAGCATTGCACTGTCAATGCCATTTCCCAGTTTTCATTCTAGTCCTTGGCTTCCCGTTTCCACTACCCCGTGAGCTGGATGCATTTTGGTCCTCGTGCCCACGTAGTTTGTTCTAGACCTGGGTCTGTCTTGGTCTTGGGAGATGCTGCATTTCCTCTGCTTCTTAGCCATATGAATTTGTTCTGAATCTGCTGGACTTCGTGCTTGTAGCAGCGTTGAACACCTATTCAAAACTGTTGTAGTTTCAGCAAAGGGAGAGCATAAATTTCCAGACTTTTTTTCTACTGATTAAGTGGTCGTTGACTTTGTGTGTGTGYGCTCTATTCGTCCTTACTGCTCTTGTTTTGGATGCGTCCTCCCTGATCCCATTGCGTGGTCACCAAAACATGACGCAAATCTCTACCGTGTTTGCAGCACAAGCCAGTTGTGAACAAACRGTAAGGAATTTTGCTTCTGTTGCTCCTACGTGTGTGTGAAGCCAGACAAGAACAATCTGTCTTTCAGTGCAGCCTAAAGAGAAGCACAAGGACTTAAGAGTCCAAGTGCCTTGGAGTTAAGAGTCCAAGATCTGCCTCGTGCATTTTCAGGGAAATTGTGTGTGAAGTAGTGGCTGTGGGACGTGCATGTTAGTTGTAAGTGCACGACTAGGATTTGTATAATGTGTGATTTGTGTAAGAATATTATTGTTGTATTGAGTGGAACAGCAACAGTCATGGAAATAAAAAAACTATTAAAATATTCCCTTTCTGCTTTTATTCTTTTGAAAATAATGTTGAAGGATAGCTGTTTTTGGTTGAAGGTAATTTAAATGCTAAAGCAGTTTTATGCATAGACCACAGTATTATGCCTTATTTGTTAATATATATTTGTAAATATTGTCTAGATCAGAGCTTCCTTTTAGCTCTTTTTGGTCCTACATGTAGTGAATACTTTGATTTCTTTCTTGTGCCTAACATATGGCAGACTTAGACGATTTTTTCTATTAAAAAAAGGCACTCTTGATGCAATTCTTCCCTAAACACTCTCGGTACATGATAGACTCAGTATACGATGGGATCACTAGGGGAATGGATGACTCAAGCTTTTCACCCTGAGTCAACGGTCACAATGAGGAGATTCATGYGCCTCTAGCATGCAAGTACAAGCTGTCACTGCAGTCCCCTGGATTTTGTTGATGAGTTTTTGCAGGATTATTTTGAGCACAATGAAATATTGAACAAGTCATGTAACCTGAGTATGTGGTCTGTTTGGGAATAGTTTTGAGGGAAAATGTATTGATCTTATTTTACCTGCTTCTACTGTGTTACACTTTGAATTAAGAAGGCAGACAGGAAACATGCATTTCAYTTGCCTTGCATTTTTTTTTGAATAACCAATCTCAGTGCTAAACAGATGTATTTATACATCTGTTAGATGTTTGTATACATCTATAGCTTGTGCCCCACTTTGACAGCTCTGCAATATTTCCTTGCGAAGCAAGCTGGGAGTTCCTTTATCAAGACATAAGGCTTTCAGAGAGATATTCCTGGTACAATAATTCAAACAGCAGTAATGTGCTGTTGGGCTGTGGAACTTTCCATTCAGGGACAGGATRTACCAAACTTCTATTATTTCCTCTTACAAATGTTAATAATAAAGAAATCCTTACGCTTTGTTAAACATATTGGTCAATGTGTGTTTAAGGCAAGTATTGCACTGGAGCCCAAATTCTGTGTCACTCCAAACCCTCTGTCCCCTCTTGGTGACAATGTTATTGAACAGCCTCTTACTGAAACCTGGGTAGCTGTGAAAAGCAGTAGCTGGCAGTCACARTCAAGTGACAAATAGCTTGAATTAAACTAGACGAATGTTTCATCTTATCTCATTTCTTGTTCTACACTGGAAGCTCCAAGAAACATTTTGTGCAGCTATTCCTCATTGGTGAGATGTGTGTGAAATATTTTCATGTCAATTCTACTGGGTGAAATTTGAGATCATATTGCTGGGCTTCTTTTTGGCTGGAGGATGCTCTAATGACTGACTTTCCCTGCCATTGCAGACATGAATATTTTTCTAAGCTCAAGAATTTCCAAGGTAGTAGTCACCTAACAGTGTCTTCCTCTCAAATGTTTTATCAATGGGATAAAAATCTGGATTCTTGGTTGGTCCTATCTGGCYGATGTATTTGAACTCTTGCAATGAAATCAAACTGTTAGTTCAGTGATTTTTTTCCTGTTCATCATGTGACAATACTTTCGGGAAAAGTTCAGCTGTCTGATTCTGCACAAAGTTGTAGGTTTTTTTCCCCTAAGCTTCTGTCTCTCTTGTTTTTTTTCTCCCCTGGTCTTTTCTCCTCTCTAGTACTAGTCCATATAGTTGTCTGTGGTTAGCCTCATTTGGGGGCAGGGGGGAAAACCTGAAGCATTTCTGTCAGTTGCAGCTTGTAATGATGAAGACCAGCAGCTCTTAGCCTCTCTCTGGAAGTGCATCTTCTAGTGTGCCAGTGAGATACCCTAAAAACAGAATTGCAGAACAGAAGGTGGAAAAGCTATTGCTTTTGTATGAAGGTTGTATCAAATAGTTCTGATACTTAATTTCAATGATGTGGTGAGCTTTGGAAACCAGGAGTTGTTGTTAACTTGGTATTCTGGTTGGGTGCTGTCATGTCAGCTGTTCATAGGACCTCAGTCTGCACAGGCTGTTGTTCTTATCCCACTTTTAGCACTGATTTCTGGTCCCATCAGTTTCAGACTGCCTTCATGGCAGCCTAGGCTTAAGCACAAAAAGAATCCTTGAAGGTTAAATTTAATAGTTTGCTTGTTTTCTYGTGGCTGCTCTGGGGGAGCAGCAGCAAAGCTTCAGCCAGTTGTGCTTTTGTGAAGACCCCAAGCAGCATGTGGGAGTCCAAAGAAGGGAAGTGTCAACAAAACTGAGTTGCACTTTTGTGTGTGCTGGAGATTTCCCRGGCAGGAGATCTCCAAGAGGAGATTTCCTCTTGGCAGGGCCACCTGGCTCACCTTTAAAATGGGAAAGCTCAGTGGCACCTGAGGAGCCCCCACTTGGCAGGGGCTCCTAAGCACTCTGGGCTCTGCTTGTTCTGGGCTGCGAGCCTCCCCAAAGCCACAGGCTTCACTTCTCCCCTACAGAAATCKTGCTGTGATGGGTGCTCTGCGGAAAGCTCTGGGTAGACCCCATTGGAGTGTTCACTGCAGCGTGTCCCTAGAAAGCAAAAGCCACCCAGCCTTTCAGTGAGCCAGCATGTGTCTCATTTGTCCAGGTCCTTTCTGCAGAGTGGTTTATATGAATATATAAGAATATACAAACCAGGATGRTCAGTGACGGCTTTCAGCTGACTTAGATGGTCTTCAAAAACAGCCTGGTGCTGTGTAGAGGTGACCAGGTTAGGCTGCCAAGAGATGCTGTGGTGGACTAAATGCAAGCTGATTCYGGGTTACCCACGTGGGCAGCGTGGGCTGGGGTGTGCGCATTTGCCCATGGCAGTCCCTGGCTGCTGGCAGGGAGCTTTGCAGAAGCTGCAGATCTGTTGAGTGGAAACGAAATCTCAGTGCAGTTGTGCAGCATGTGACTTCCTATTTCTGTCAGTTACTTCCAAGGAACTTCCTCTGTTGAGTCGGCTCGTCTCCAGAGGCTTTGGCTGGAGCTGCGGTGGCGCTTGCTTTGTCCTGTGCCTGCAGCAGAGTGTTTTTCCCAAAGTTTTCTTTTAAGCATTGTATTTTTTTCTTCTGTTCTTTCTCCAGCATGCAAGGATCTAGTGGCTGCTACGCGTGATCGGAAGCTGAATACGTTTGTACAAGTCTCAGTGGTGCATCCCGCCGAGCACGTTCTGACGAGGTATTCRAGCACTGAAATCGTGGAGGTGAGTGTCTCTTTTTCAATTAACATGTCAAGTAGTGAATTGCTCCTTTTTTCCCCCTCTGGAAAATGGATAAAAAAAAAATCAAGTGAGTTAGCGCATAGCCTTTAGTAAGGCAGGCACACGCTGGCTGCTAGCAAAGCATACCTGGGAGAGTCCTGTAGTTCTTGGCGTTTAACCAGCATAAACAGTTAGATTTGAACATGCCCCTTCATGAAAGAGCTATTTTTTTGCAACTGAGAAACGTCGAGAATAGTCCCTTAGACATGGGCTTACAGTGAAACAGAACTGTAGTTTGCATGGAAGAACAAGGCTTTGTAAATAGTGTAGAGATTTTTGCAAAGCATTGTAAATTCTAGAAAAGTATAGTTGCTTTTTGAGCTATTCTTTCCACTTTGGTTCTGTTTTTTTTCCATTAGAAGGATGGAATTTTTGCAACCTGAAAAATGTTAGTGAGCCTTTTAAATTAGAAAACGCATGTGTTTGAAATAATTGTGACATATAGAATTTTCTAACTTATGTTATGTTCTGTAGCAAAAGTTTTTTTGCAGCTGCATTGCTAGTCCTTGSTTTCTCAGGTAGGCATCCATGTCAGGAATGGGACAAGCTTTATTTACAGAGAAAAATATTTAATCTGAGCAGACAAGATAGACGTGACTTGTTCAACTTAATGCAGGGATTAATTAACAACAGAGGAGTCTTACTGCAAATACCCCAATTTACTTTATCTAGGACTTGTTTTAACTGTTAAGCACAAGAAGAATATTTCATGAGCTTTGTGTGATCTTAGTTTCAGCTGACTGCTAATTAAACTGTCATGGTTTCAGCCATCAACCATCCTGAAACTGCTTAATTCAAATAGCTTATATCTGATAAGGGTGTTTCATTTCAGACTGTCTAGAACAATGTAGTATAGAAATTCAAACAGAAATAAATGGATTTTTCTAATGTCATGTCCTATATGTGAATCAATTCCCTGATTTTTTTTGTGCTCAAGCTCTTTGCTTCCTCAGTCTACCTTTTTGGGGAGAGAGGGAACAGACAAAAGGAATTTTCATCAGGTGAAAAGGATAATCATCACATGAAAGTCTGTATTTAACAGAAGAGCTAAGGATGCTGGCTCAGTAGTCTTTGCCAACTTTTGGGGCATAATTAAAAATTAGGAKATTTTAGGAATATTTTAAATAGTTTAGATATTTTTATATCTGGAATATGTATGTATAATATAAAATATTTCTTCTAGAATATTGTTGCTTCTATATATCTAAATACCTTTGACATATACACTACTATAAAGATGRCTGTTAGTTGACACAGCTAAGGATGTTCTCATACTGCACCAACGTATTATTGCTTGGAGTGGAATCATAATCCCCAGTCAGTCAGTCACTCCCTAAATGTAATTAAAGGAGTTTGTGTAGCTTGACCTGTCTACCATGAACTGTGTTATTAGCCAGCCTATTCTGCTTGGATCGTAACTGGAGCTGAAAACATAGCTGATGGAAACTATTAAATAATGGCATAGGTTTGGTTTCATTTACTTTATTAAGTAAATATATATTTACTGAAATGTTGAGTTAATTTTAAGAAAGGTGCTCCAATGTAATGATATGTAACTGCACGTATATGAGCATGTGTATGTATAAAAATACATGCCTACACACCTTGATATGTGTATATATGCCAAATTATATTTTTATGTGCACACCATGATAATTCTGAAGGGATTTTTATTGTGATTTAATTGAGGTCTTGCATCTTTTTTGCATAAACTGTATCTTTAGTTCATTTAAAAAAAAAGTAAGCTTCCTGTACCCTTAGGACATGTCTTGGGATTGAAGTGCAGTGGTTTTTACAGAGCACTCTTCCAGATACCGTTACCTGCTGGCTGAGCTAGCTGGCATCTTGCTGGAGTGTTTGATGAGTTGAAGTTTTAGAGCTGCTCAGTTTTGTTTCTGGCTGTGTTAACTGTGTGTGTGTGTGTGTGTGTGTGTGTGTGTGTGTGTGTGTGTGTCTGCTGTAGAAAGCTAGGCTAGTTTAAAAGCCCCTTGGTTGTGTTGGTGCCTCCGTAAGCGCGTGGTGCCCGGTGGCTGCCTTACTGAATGTGTGCTCGTGTGGCACAGGGAACGAGGGACCCGCTCTTCCTGACTGGTGTGACCTTCCCACCCGAATACCCCATCTGTGAGGAGACGAAAATCAAACTAGCCGTCTACGATGTCAAAGATAAATCTCAAGACACGGTAAGTGATTTGTCTCACSTTTTACGTAGAGGTTTATTGAGGATTAAGCTTCTCGGTGGTGGTCTCTAGCTTTCTGTAGCAGGTTTGCCAATTAGGAGGACAAAGTTATGTAACTTGGATTTTCTTTTGGACTTAATGTACTTKGTTATTTTATTTAAAATAGGGGAAAAAGTCAGTGTACTTAAAATTACCTATATGCTATTGTTTTGCATGATTTGGCACCAATGCTTTTGGCAAATAGAAGGTTACTATTGTGTGTCTGGTCGTTTTCCTTTGTGGTAGACATCATATGGAATAGATTGAGATAATATTGTGAATTACTTTTTAGAAATGTGTTACTGATCATACTTGACTTATGCCAAAGTCATGATGAAGATAAAACCTGTAACGTGATGCTTGAGGGTGATGGTSGTATTTTGTCCTAATCTCTTGCATGGTGGTACTTGTACCTCTCCTATGACTACTGCTATTTTTGGTATGCAAGAGTCAAAGATCTTCTGTGTGACTATTAAGGGCAAAGAATTTTGTGTTCCACTATTATATGTTGGGGGTTGCACTGCCAGCTTCTTTTACTGAGGAAGTTACTCATGAGATGATATATGGAGGTCAGTGGGGCTTTTGGTGTGTGATTTCGGTGTCTAAACAGAGGCCTTGAGTGCTGCTGTATGTGCTGCAAGAGGTTGAAGTCTTACAGAGTTGGAAGATAGGCCAGGACTTGTGGGACAGCTGCATTTTTTTCTGTGGCAGCAGGAGTCCAGCTTACATGTTTTTCTCAGCCATCTATAATTACTGTATTTAACTGTTTTGCTCTATATCTGTAACTAGTCCTCAATATGATCCAAGGGCCATATGATGTGATGTCGTGACTGAGTTCATTATCCATAAGAAGGAAATTAATTGYATGACTTAGAACTTGAGGCTGTTGAGGTGTTCAGAAGGGCTTCTCATCTTCCTCCCTCCCTCCSCAAGGTGATGAATAGTTGATGTTGGCTTGCTCCAATTTTGGACCTTTCTGAGCAAACTCATTGGACCTTTGGCTCCCACTGGGTGTATAATGGATTTAGTGGAATGGCTGAGATGTAGAATCTGATTTTTTTCATTTTATATACCAAGAAATTTTCTTTCTTTTTAATATTAGAAAAGTGAGTAATCTAGTGAAATGAGAGATAATGACAGAGCCCAAGATTTGTGCCCATGAACACACACAAAAGGTGTATGTATATGCAGGTACTTATATGTGTACCTATGTTTTTATATATAATGTATGTGTGTGTGGATATAGGTATGCGCACATAGTTAACACAGAGCAGTTTTCAGCCTGAGCCTGTTACGTAGGTTTGAGGTTAGGCTGCAGACCGGCCGCATCTGTCCGCAGCTCGAGTGAGGGGGGCTGAGCCCGCCCTGCACGTGGCTTCCATGGCATTCCTGGTGGCCAGAACTTGGGGCCGGACTGCCAGAAACTCAGCCCAAATTAGGCAAGAAGCTGTGGCGCGTCRTTTCCCACCACGCTGGGGCTGTGCCGTTGCCAGGGCTTGTGGTGCTGGTTGGAAAAAACTGAAATCCCATTTTGTGCTGCAATTCACAATGCACTAGGTAACTATGCTTAGTTACTCTGTTCTTATTTCTCTTGTAATTAAAATGAGACCAAAGGAGGTGAATTCCATGCATTAATTAAGCTCTGAGGAGGCTTCTGGTGCCCCAAATTAGAGAATTGTAAAAAAGGTGGGGAAAGGGTCAGAGTAGGGGGGATAAATCACAGGGTGGTGCATTTGCCTGTTGCTTAAACCTGCTGCTACCCGTACAGGAGAGCTAGGCCCTAAACTGACACCCTGGAGACTTGCACCACAGTGCCCCGGATGCTGCTCAGCCTGTTCAGAGGAGTCGCTGCCCTGCGGTCAGGGGCTGCTCCCTGGAGAGGAGGGACCATCACAGTGGTTTGGGTGCTGGGGATGGGCTGTCGGTGTTGCCACTTGGAAACAGACTTCAAAATAACCGTGTGCTGCCTGTATTCCTGTATGAGACAGCAGAGTGTTCGCTCTTACCTGCCATTTACCTCACATTTCTGTTAGAAGTGCAGTTTAATTGCATTTAAGTACTGTGCAGCTGGTATCACTTTCACTGTGCTTGAAACACTGAAGTTTCTAGCTGCACTTATTTCACTTTTATGCATATCTGGCTTATCCTGGTCATAATTATATACTGACTGTATCAAGTTTTCTGTAAAAGAGACTTTTTAAAATATAGCAAAGCCCGATGTTTGTGGCTCTGGCTAGTTTGCCTGGATTAAGATGACTGTTTTAGTTATTGCAAATTCTCATGCAAATAGATGCTTTATTAAAGACCATGCCATTTTTACTTCACTTGGATATAGCTGAAGTAAGAAAGTTAATACCATGTGTTAGCAGAATACTATTTAAATGTARCAAAGCTGTGCATGCAGTAGGACAGTAGGTAATGGCATGTTCTGAGATGTGTCTTGCTACCTCTCAAAAGTTTTCCTCACATATTACCATAAGCCAGTTTATGTCACACTGACTTGAGTCTTTAAGATTAAGGTGMAATAGTTGAATTTTGTCTTAATGCTTAGATTGCACCTGTTCCTGAAATTGTTGTCCAAAAAAAAAAATCAGAATTAGAAGTTCATGTTGTATGCTCATTGCAATTAAACACAGCATGTAACTACTGACTTTCCTAGCTGTGAAATGGGTTTGAAGATGTGATATGGCACGGTGGGACTTGGTTCTGTGCAACCTGGTGAGGTCTCAGTGCAAGCCCTGTGGTCACACTGTGGTGTGACCCGTTGTTTCCCTGCGTGCGCAGCCCTGTTGGCAGCGGGAGAAAGGAGCCTCCCTGCTAGCTGCTGGGGACCGGCTCTGCGGAGCCCCTGGGCATCCTCCTCCTAGGAAGAGATGGGAACCTGGAAGCTTGGGAGTGAGCTTCCAAAGGAGATACGTACTCCAGGATTATGGACTTTACGAGTGATTTACTGGCTTAAACATCAGGTAAATATGATCTCCTTTGGGTGTGCCTGCTGGCATTCCCGCATGGCGTTGGGTATCCAAACAACTGCTCCGAGAGCAGGGAGAAGCGGCCGCGTGCCRGGCAGCTGGGACATGCGCAGCCTGCTCTCTGCTCTGGCCTTGCCTATTGCCAGTTTCCTGCTCTTAATAACTGAGAACAAAATCAGATCAACTTGTTAAACCATTTTAAGCACAATGTTGATGGGAATGGAGCTCTGGATATGGAGATGTGTGATATAAACTGATGGGTCTAGAATATTTAGGCTTCACAGGATTTTATTTTTTTTAACTCTTTGGCTTTGAATAGTCTATTAAACACAGACCTGATGAGGAAAAATGCCCCAAAGATTGGTCTATATTCGGTGCCACTCAGTTTCTTGGCATTGCAGGTGTCCGCATTAAAACCCACCCACATTGGGGTGGGAGGACAAGGAGAGCCCCTCTCCTGAGAGAGGAGTTTTGGGAAGTCCCTCTTGAAGGCCATGCTGCAGGGATGGTGCTGGTTGCTCCCACAGAGCCTCACGAGCTGCCCCGTGCTCTTTGGCAGGGCTGGCCACAGCAAGACTTTCTAGGACATTGATGTTTCCTTTTGGAGTTTGAAGTGCTATTGAGTTTGTCCGTTATTTAAAGGAAAACATTTTTTTGCCCRAATTATTTGTGAAGGACTTAAAGGTTTCCCCTTTAATTTTATGGCAGATAAAGCACATCTTTGAAGAGCCAATTCTTCAATGGAATACTTYTTTCCAGATGTTGATATTAGAGATATGAAGGAAAAAACTGAACGCATAAAGGGAAATCCAAGCTACTAAGTTTCATTTGGCTTTAGATTGAAGTAAAGTCTTCCTTTGAAGTGGCTGATTGTATTAAAAACGTTTGTCCTATTTTAGTGAATCTATAGGGGAATCGGGGATAAATGTCAAGAGCAGGAATGTTACAGGTATGTTTAACTTAACACTCCTTGTGTAGACTGACTGCTGTTGGCACCTTGAAAATGCGATGGGGGATTTGGCTTTGCCAAAATTCATCTCTCAAAGCATCCTGCTGCTTTCCTCATTTTTTAACTTATGTCTCTTCCTAGCTGGGGGGGGGGGGGGGGGAACTCTTCCTTATCCGTGTGTGTTCAGAGAAACTTGTGATCTGCTTTCTTCTGTAATTCTTCTTTTTCTTGAATACCAGCTCTGTCAATCAAATTTAACTGCTGCCCCACATCAGGCAAAAGTGTTCTCTAAGACCCAACTGTTTGGAAAACTGCTGTAAAATTATATTGTAAAAGTAGGGGATGCCTTTCTAGGGGATGCCCTAGAAATTATTTTAAAATGAGGGAAAAGAATAGTAACCAGTAAACTTTACTTGTAGGTTTTATTTTAGCCATCTAAGGACTTTCATAATGTAGTGATGGTGATTTTTACCTTTACAGCTYCGTGCAGCTTCTGGGCTTGGGTGCCGTTTTTGCCTGTTCCAGAAGGCTGGAGTGTTTTCCTCCGACTGAGCAGAGGAGGGAGATGGTGTAACTTAATGGTTTTCTTAAATAGTGTCTCTTTTTCTCTTTGATATTTATGATCTTCATGATATTTATGATCTTCATTTTTCATGTTGAAAAGTCAAACTGCTGTTTAAGCTACTATTTTACTTTTCTCAAACAGCTGCCTTTAAACAAGACACTTAGCAAAAACATTGGAGTGAAATAGAAGGTACAGTATATTTAAAATCTACTCCTACAGCAACATAAACATTTGTATGTAATTAAATCTATCTAGATGTGAAAAGAGTTGAAAGGATGAAAGTTAAAGGAATTGGGAAGAGCAGTAAGTTTGCTCTTGAGAACTGTGAAAGCAGGTCATTGAAAACAGTCAGGAAACAGCTTTGTCTTTTCCAGTTTTGATGCATGTAGCCTGGGAATTCAAAACCAGAGCAAATTCAGTCTATTAGAGCAGATTTTCTTCTTGTCCTGAATGTCTCAAATATTTATAGTTCTTTAGA